CATTCCTACCATCCTGTTAAGTGGACTTTAAAATCCCACTTTCTAGACACCAATGCTGAGGCCTGAGCAGCGCTCCTACCCAAGCCCCAGGGCACCAGGGCCAGCTGGTGTTCACGTCGAGGGCTGAGGCAGATGCTCCAGCTCTGCCCCCATCTGGAGAGGCGCTTCATCTGTCTCCCCATGGAGTCCTCAGGGGTAAACCAGCCACTGCCGAGGGTGCAAGCATCCTAGCAACTCCACAGCTGCTGCCTTTATGACCCTTTCCCTGAGGAAGCCTGCACTGCCTCAGAGCCAGCTCCCCACCCCCCAGCCTGCAACTGCTCCCTCCAGCCCTGCACCTGCCCCCACACAACCAGCTCCTGGTGGCATGTAGGGTTGGTACCCTCTCCCCCAGCCCTGCACTTGCCCCCTCCAGCCCTGTACCTGCACCCCCACAACCAGCTTCTGGTGGCATCTAGGGTTGGGACCCCACCAGCCCTGCCACCTGCCTCCCCATGGCATATCAAGCTGGCGGGGGCTCCTTCCTTGCAGAAGCGCCCTCCCTCCATGACCTGCCCACACCTCCCTGGCACATGCTGTCCACGCCTGGCGGCCGGCTGCCTGCTCTGCACCTCTGCACCTCAGGGCCTCTGTGTGGCCCCATGCACAGACAATGATGAATCCTGAGACCCTCAGGTGAGTGCTCTGAACTCAGGTCCCCAGGGACACCTGCTCTCCCGCACACCAACGCCCTGCAGAGCTCGCCTGTCCTAGAGGGTGAAGCCCACACCTGCCAGGGCACGCAGTCTCAAGAGGACCCTGCTTCTATGCAGAGGGTCTCGGAGGCTGGCAAAGGCACAAGAGGTCAGGTACGCTTGGTTTGGGGTTGGGCTGTGGCTCTTCCCCACCTGTCTACAGCAGCCTCTGCCATGGGCAGCAGGGGTGGCTGTGCTGCCTGGCCAGTAGGGTGGGGACTGAGGGAGCCACACGGAGCAGGATAGCAGTGACCTCTTTATTTTAGGCTGGGTGGATGGCTGCATGGGGGCATGTAACCGTTGGAGGGCTGACCCCTGGGCTGCACAGACCTGGAGAAGATGCCCAGGGTGGGAGTTGGCCAGGAGTCCCGGAATGTTCACTGCCCACTGCCAGGGTGAGCAAGGGCAGGGAATGTCCTGGGCCGAGAGTCCCAGACCCCCCCAGGGATGACCCTGCCAATCAGCCTCATACCAGCTGCGCCTCAGGCCCCACCAGCCCTTGCTCCTGACTCAGACAAGAAGCTGCTTCATGGGGTTACAACTCCCCTTTCTAGGGGCCGGAGGGAAGAGAAACTGGACTGCTGCCTCCACTGCTGGCTGGCTCATGGCGCCGTCTTTCCTGATTCCTCCCAGGAGCTGCCCCAGTGAAGGGCAGAGCAGGACCCAGCCAGACGCTCAAGGCTGAGCCTGCACCCACTGGAGCCTGCGGCTTCCCTTCTCAGAGCCTGTGACGCCTGCACAGGAGAGCAGGGCTGGGTTCCTCCTGGAGCTGCTTCAGACCCATCCTGTTGGGGCAGAGGTGCCAACCCCAAGCTCCAGGGTTAGATGTAGGGCGAGGAAGGGGCAAGAGCTGGAGAGCACACAGCATGGACCAGCTCCCCCGCGCCCTCGCGCCGTGTGCAGAGCAGTGTGGGGCTCCAGGGCTGTCCTCGGTAGGCCCCGTGGCTCTAGGTGCAGGAGGTACGGCCCTGGGAGGCAAGGCCAGGCCCTGCCAGAGCCCTGGGTCTGGCTCTACCGCTTGGCCAGGCCTCCCCGGGGCAGCAGCTCCACATAGCTCAGGGCACTCTGCAGTGATGTCAGGCAGTAACCCTCCTCTCCAATCAGGTACCTGCACGGATGGCAGCAGGCATCACCCGGCCTCCAGAAGGCAGTGTCTGCCTTCCCAGTTCAGGGCCTGGGTGGTGCGGGTGCGCAGGTGGGCTGTCAGGGTGGCTGGGCTGCAGGAGGCCTTTCCCACCCCCTCTGTGCTTGTCCTTGGACCGCAGAGCCAGGGATGGCCCTCGATCCCCTGACCGTCCCCTCCCCAGGCAGACACTGCTCAGGGGGCGGCCCCCAGCTCCTGCTGTGGGAGAGGCTGGGCTAAGCGAAGGGCCACGGGGCATGAGGCAGCAGGCACACTGCACAGGGGCACTCGTGGGGGCTGCCTGAAGGCGGCATGGCTGTAACGAAGTCACTGCCCTCACCAGCCGCCACTGATAACCACCCTTCGGGCTGAGGGACAAGGTCCCCACTCTTCCCACAGAGGCCCCCACCCTTCCCCCACCGGGTTCTACCCCTCGTGGATGAACTCCTCCAGGGCCGCGCACTCCGACACCAGCTGAGGGAGGCCGCTCCTCAGCACCACGAAGGAGAGGATGGGCAGCAGGTCGTCAGCACCGCTGTGGGAAGGGCACAGCAGCCGTGACCATGGGCCGGGCCTCTGGCTCCGCAAACCCAGCGGCTGTGCAGCCGTCCGGGCCGCAGTCTCTGTGCCTCTTGCCCAGTGGTCCAGGAAGCCACCTGGGAGTGGCAAGGCTGTGCCTCAATGGGAGCTTCTGCTCTGCTGAGCAAGGGCTGGGCCCACACTCAGGGCTTTCCTGCTGCTACAGCCCAGCTGCAGCACGAGACTAAGGGTCGGGAAGACAGCCCCTCTGACGCCCCGTGCTTTTCCAGGGCCCTCGTCCCTGGCCACACTCGGCCTCCTGGGACTCACATGGCTGCTGCAGCGATGGGCGGCAGTCCAGCCTGCGACGTGGTCTCCGAGGTGGGGCAGTAGTCTTCTGCGCAGACACAGATGACCCGCAGGGTCCGAACTGCACCGCAGACATGTGGCTTCAGGGGCAGTTGGGGATGCCACAGGGGGACCCAGCAGGGATGGGAAAGCGAACCCAGGCTGCTGCCCCACCTGGCAGCCTGAGCCCCCCTTCACACCCTGCCCACGTACCCACCCCCCCACCCCCCCCACTTCCTGATGTGCAGGGCTGGGAAGAGCTGCCGTGACCCTGGGGATATTGCTCTGACTCCACTTTTGTCCTGGTCCCACCCACCCCGCATGTGACAAGCTCAGTGGTGAAGACACAAGCTCCAGGTCACCCACCGGGATGGGAGCCTGCCTCTCGGACCTGCTAACCTATGCACTCCAGCTTCTTTTGGGGGCAGCTCTCCAGGATCAGCAGTCCAAGCTCCTGGGCCGCAGCGCAGTAGGGGTAGGTCCCCTTGGCCTCCGGGTCCTTGGGGAGGAGCTTGGTGGGGATGCCGATGGCGGTGGGGGGTGCATTCCTGTAGAGCTCCATGCTCCTGCTCAGAGCGGCCTCCCGGGCTCGGTGCACACTCCTGGGGCAGGGAGAGGCCAGGCTAAGCTGCCCCAGGGATCCTGCCCTGAGGACAGAGGCAGGGCTGTGGCTGGAGGTCCCTGGAGCTCTCCTGGAGAAAACTGGCTATGTATCCCAAGCAAAAAGCCTCCATGTTCCCAAGCCCCCAGGCATGGGAGGTAGGTACAGCCCTACCTGCAAACTGGAAGCCCCTGAGGATGGCCTCGGGGTGAAGCACAGGCCAGGGCAGCAAACACGAGTCTTGGGGACTGAGTAGAGGAGGCCGTGCCAGGGGTACTGGGAGGGCAGACGCCAGGCCACGTGGGAGTGGGCCTGTACCTGTACAGGGCCAGCAGCAGAGGCCACAGCGGGGAGAAGAAGGGCTCCTCTATGCACGCTAGGCAGCGGTCCTTGGAGGCAGCTGTGTTGAGGCCTTCGAAGGCCAGAAGGGTCAGCGAGAGCAGCCTGTCTGCTGGGAACAGAGCCGGGGACATCCACACAGGCCCCTCCCCTGCTGGGTCAAGTGGCTCGAAGCCATGGGGCCTCCTCTGCTGAGCAAGCTCTCTGAGGGGCAGGGCAACCTGCAGCATCCAGGAGCAGTGGGGTGGCCCTGTCTGGTCCTCTTTCCAGCAGCTTCAAGCCTCCTGCACCCACCCCTGAGGCTCCTGGGCCCAGGGCAGGGAGTCTGGCAGCAGAAACTGTCACCTACAGCTACTGCCCCCGTCGGCCGGCGGCCTGAGAAGAGAATGGAGGACGAGCCCTTTCTCGAAAGGGCCTTTACCCAAAACTGCAGGAACCAGGGTAGACTTTAGAATCAGCCCCCTGTGGGTGGGGGCCCTGATCAAGGTTGTGTGTGTGAGCGGCACAGCCAGAATGGGGCCTTGGGCTGCTGGCCTCCCTCACTGGTTCTGAGAGAACCCTAGGCCAGGCGTGGTGGCTCACACCTGTAATGCCATCACTTTGGGAGGCCGAGGCGGGGGGATCACCTGAGGTCAAGAGTTTGAGGCCAGCCTGGCCAAGGTGGTGAAACCCTGTCTCTACTGCTCCATTTACAAAATGAGAAGGGCTGAGGCATGGGGCCATCACCACCTGCAGGCTGGGCTGGGTGGACACGAGTCTGATCAGAGGCTCTGACCGACAGGCCTTTCCCCAAATAGAAGCTTGAGATGGACCAGCAAGCAGGGGTGATGAGCCGCAGCCCCTCCGGCAGTGAGGGCTGAGGGGTCCCGGGACATGGAGGCCTGGCCTCACCGATGGCATTATGGATGTCCTCCACCGCGCTCTTCAGCTGCTGCAGCTGCGGCTCGGGCTGCCCCCCATGGCCCCGGCCCCGGCCCTGCGGCTCAGACGTCCTCAGAAACTGCTCCAGGTCCTCAAATGAGCTGTCCTTGTCCGGCAGGCCAGACGTGATGTCCCCCACAGGTGAGGGAGGCCCCACGGGGCGGGGGTGGAGTGAGGGCGTGGGGGGGCTGTCCTGGGGCTGCGGGGCCGTGCTGGGCTCGCTCGGGGACAGCATGCAGTGGAGGCTCTGCGAGGGCCGCAGCCGCCGGCTTCCAGGGTTGGGGGTCGGGGGACAGCAGCCCGGGGCTGGTGCGGCCGCCCTGCTCACCGCGGGGTACAGGGTGCTGTACACCGCGCACTGCAGCCGCCTCAGGAGCTGCGCAATCGGGTGGTCAGGGAGGCTGCGGGAGAGGAGGGCGTGCGAATGCGGCCAGCCTCGGCCTCCCGCCGCCATGCCGCCCTCCCGGGGGCCCCCACCAGTCTACAGCGGAGCCGCGCTACACCCGGTTTAGAGACGTGACGCGCGTCACCTCCTGACAGTGAATGGTCTGCAGAGGCTGTAGAAGCTGAGGAAACGCCCTCAGCGCGAAGGGACCTGTGGTGTCCATGTGGCTGGGGCACAGGGTCCCTGGGGCAGAGCGGCAGCCTCCTCCTTGTCAGTCCAGCCCCTCCCCGGCACCCAGCCCACACAGGGGCTCAGTGGTGCCCGAGGCCCAGCTACCTGAGCAGGTGTGACAGCAGGCTGGTCACCAGCGACAGGTCCCCCGGGCTTCTCTTGAGCTTGGCCTTCCAGTGCTTCGGCCAGTCCTGCGGAACAGGGGGCCTTGGAGGGAAGCACATGGGTCCCCACGACCAGTGCCTGCCCCAAGAGACTGTGGGAGACCGTCCTGGGGTGCAGGAGACCCAGCACCAGCAGGCCGCGCAAACCACCCCCACCAGAGGGAGACCTTACTTGAAGCCTGGCCCCGACCCCTCACCGGGTCTCTCCCATGCGGCCCTGGCCCCGCCCGCCTCACTGGGACCCTCCTGCAAATCCTGGACCCTGTTGGCTGGCGGGGGACGCACGTGGTCCTGCTCGTACTCCAGGATGGCTGCGTAAAGTGCCCGCTGCTCCCGCTCCTCCGGTGTCAGGGCAACCTGGCTGCAAAACCTCCTGGGGAAGAAGGCGCACGGTGGATCCCGGGGCCTGGGCCGGGGCCAGGGTTGGGCCGGGCTGTCTCTGCAGCGGGGGACCGGGAAGGAGTCACACCTGTTGGCGGCCTCCTGGAGCCGCAACCGGCGCTCCTCCATCTTCCTCTGGAGCTGGGTGCAGAGTCAAGGGGACGCGCGTTGGATCTGAGCGGGCTTTCAGCTCCCACCCCCGCCCCACACCTGCAACCACACCCCAGCAGCCAGGACGTCCCAGGGACCCCCTCAGTGAGGGGCAGTCCCCAGGGCAGGCTTCTGGGGCAGAAAGCAGCCTGTGCTGAAGGCAGGAGGGCAGAGCCAGAGGGCCCGGGGAATAGGGGCGGGGACCTTCCCCAGAGGCCATCCCTCTGCAAAGCGGGAGGCCCCTCAGCCCTGTACCCCGACCCTGGGACCTCCACTACCCTTGCTACCCTATTCTCTGCCTTTGGCTCATGGCCACACTGAGTTCTCCCCAGAGACCACCAGGGTGGTCAGAAAGGGTGCTGTCTCCTCCCGCGCTTTGGCGATCACCAGGTTCTCCATCATCTGCCGCTGTAGAGAGAGGGTCTGGGAGAGGAAGGAGGGAGTAAGGCCGGCTCCCCTGCACCGCCAGGCCCTCCCTAGGCCTCACTCACCAGGGATGTCTTCTGCATAGCCTGGCTGGGGTCTAGCCGGGCCATCCGGGCCTCATACGCAGCCTTCAGCTTCTGATTCTGCAGGGAGGCTTCCTCCAACGGCGTCAGCTCTCTGGAAATGTGATGAACTGCTGTCTAGACCCCAGGAAGCCCAGCAGTGTTCTGGCTACAAAAGGAGCTTCTCTCATCCTCCCTGTTGGCTCCGAAGCCAGGAGGTGAGGAGGAGGAGGAGGGGAGGTGGTGGTGGTAATGGGGGCAGGCAGGGAGCCATCTGGGGTGGGCTGCAGCACCTGCCTGTTCTTGCCTGCCCTGCCAGTACAGTGATTTTGGCCGGGCACAGTGGCTCCCTCCTATAATCCCAGCACTTTGGGAAGCCGAGGCGGGCAGAGCACCTGAGGTCAGGAGTTTGAGACCAGCCTGGCCAACATGGTGAAACCCCATCTCTACTAAAAACATAAAAATTACCTGGGCATGGTGCTGCACACCTGTAATCCCAGCTACTTGGGAGGCTGAGGCAGAAATGCTTGAACCTGGGGGGGCAAGGTTGCCGTGAGCTAAGATCCAGCCACTGCACTCAAGCCTGGGCAATAGAGGGAGATTCCATCTCAAAAAAACAAAAAGCACAGGTTTTGGTATTGCCAGGACTTTTGACTTTTCAAGAGAAGTTGCACCACTGGACTTTCATGGAGATTAGTTACGTGTGTTCAACAAAACATGAATCTTGTCAAAGCAAAAGCTTGTGCAACCCAAGGGCTGGAAGACTTTGAATCCAGCCCAACACAAATTCCTAAACTTTCTTAAACCATCACTGAGGGTGCGGTGGCTCACGGCTGTAACCCCAGCTCTTTGGGAGGCCAAGGCAGGTGGATCACGAAGTCAGGAGATCAAGACCATCCTGGCTAACACAGTGAAACCCCTTCTCTACCAAAAATACATAACAGCCAGCCGTGGTGGCACACGCCTGTAGTCCTAGCTACTTGGGAGGCTGAGGCGGGAGAATCGCTTGAACCCAGGAAGTGGAAGTTAAGGTTTTTTTGGTTTGAGACCAAGTCTCACTCTGTCACCCAGGCTGGAGTGCAGTGGTCTGGTCTTGACTCACTGCAACCTCCACCTCCTGGGTTCAAGTGATTCTCCCGCCTCAGCCTTCCAAGTAGCTAGGACTACCAGGCGTGTGCCACCACACCCAACTAATTTTTTGTATTTTTAGAGAGACAGGGTTTCAACATGTTGGCCAGGCTGGTCTCAAACTCCTGACCTCATAATCTGCCTGCCTAGGCCTCCCAAAGTGCTA